AAAATAAAATTAGTTGGGGTCCCTGGGACCCCATGGTACCTGTTACGGGTTAAGCAGACGTCGCGGGTAAAGTATGGAAGCCACGCCACGGTCGACCGATGATCCCAGGAAGAAAGAAACCGAGCGATGTCCTCGCAAACACCCGTCGCCACGTCGAATTCTCCTCATCGCGTTCTTCCAGCGCGAAAAAAAGGACCGCGAAGTTCTTAATTCCATCGTCGGAGGATCCAAAATATACGATTATGTGCGTAGGATACAGCCGGAGTTCTAAACTGGCGGGTCGCGACGTGTTTTGCATGGAAAGGAGCGCGAATCTCGGGGGCCGCAGGACAATGAAATCTACAGGTCGCAGGACCGATCAAGGACGACCGCTCGCACCGCTCGTTTCTGGCGGAAACGGCACACCGATTTTCCAGTTCTCCCGCGATCGACCACCGCGGTCACGATGTCAAAGACCTCGCGTGTTCGCGTTCGCGCTCCAGGTGGACGTGCTGGTCGCGACACGCACGAGGCCTCCCTGTTTTTTGCGAATCCGCTTGTATGAACGATGCTTAGCTTCTTTATTGAGCGAAACGCGACGTTTGAAGAATTTTTGGGTGATTTACGGAACTCGTGCCAATATCAGCCGAGTATTGCTATTTATTATTTGATATCGAGCTGTTACCGAAGGCGCGGATATTGGAAAACGACGGTCTGTTTTCAAACTGGCGGGAGGCTTGGCGGATATTGTACATGGAAAAATATAATTCTACTCTGCTAAGAAAATCGATTATTTAGTTTATTTATAATCGATTATTTATAATCGTTTATTTATATCGATTATTTATTTTTTTTAAGTAATGGTTATCTACAACAAAGAACATTTTCTTGATAATAATCTTAAAAAATGTGAATCACAAATTTTGGAAAAGCTCGTGTCTTATCATGTACTCAAAAGAAGAATTTATTCTCTCTACAAAACTGTCAAAGAAAAAATGGAAACTATTCCATTAGTGAACAAATTGAATTTTTACTTTAATTTAATATTCTTTAAATGTTAAACTTCCTAGAATTTAACGTTTTAAATAAATTTGTTGCTCATGATGAACTTATGAGATATTTTAGGATAATATAAACTTACGAAATATTCAAAACAAGTAATATTTATTTGAGTGCACTATGTATTTTTTTGTATGCAAAATGAAAATATATAATGTATATATATATATAATTAAATAATGTAAATGTATACGTATATAATTTGTTTCATACAAGTGTGGAAAGTGTCCACGAAGGTCAAAACGTTTGGCCCATAAATGGTTTGAGAGTAAACAACTTGAACAATGAATATTAATCATCGCACTAGTTACCGCGCTCAGAGAAGTCTTGTTGGCTTATCACATCTCTCACGGAATGAAAACTGAGCTCTCCGGATTTCAAGTGGATTTTCCAGCGCAACGGAGTTTTCAGTTCAATCGTTAAGACACTTGGCGCGAAAAACTCTCTGAAGAGTTGCGACATATTCTTGCCCGCACATTCGGAAATCGCGCGTTACTTTGTGCTCTTGGCTAAGAGGAGCGACTAATTAATCAGAGGAGCGGGCAGCATTTCGACATGTCAGGTTCGCCGAGCATGACGTTTTTGTATCGCGTCGATTTCTATCTTACTTCGAGTAAGAAGGAGCAAGGAGTGCTGCGCAAGAAGAGGAGAGCCGCGGCTCGAAAATTGGAATAGGACGTGTGCGACTTTTCCACAGGTGGGCGATGCCGCGACACGTAGCAGCCGGTGACACGGAAAGCATCTCCCCGTTTTACCCGGGCCCGAGCGAGGATAATCGGCGAGAACCGCGGTGAAATCTTCAAAGTTACAACGTTCTCCAATGTTGGTCACCAAGTACCTCGCGCTCAGCGTTCGACGTGCGACACGGCCGGAGGCGATTTTGCGCGAGGAATTTTTCGCGCGACCAGATTTCCGTCTATTAATTTCCGCGTTGGGAACGCGCACGGACTGCGACGTGACTGCGAAGCGAGATATAACTCGCTTTCGTAAGCGATGGTGACGTGTATATTTCTGGAAAAAATCGCGAATAATGATGTTTCCGAGGAATTCGTGTGCGTGCGAATCATCGTTGTAATGTGCCCGCAGCAGCGCGCAAAAGTGATTACGATCGGAATTTGTCTTCGTCATGGTTTTTTTTATTATCTGCGCTCGCGGACATCGTTTCTGCATCTTCGTCGACGAGTCGGCGCGTATTGATCTGTGCAGTCTGTGAAAATCCAAGTGTTATTTTGGCTGAATATCTCTTTATACGTTTCTTATCATTTTGAATCATGTCACTTAATATGTTTAAACGTAGTAAATTATAATTCACATCTCTTAAACGCGTTCTGTGACGTCATTTAAAGCCGTAAAAAACGAGGAACTTCAGCCAAATTACACGCTTATGTGTTTAAAGATAACACAGCTGGGTCTGCAGCGTGGAGACGCTTCGCTTGCGTGTCGAGTCCGTCGAATGCAATTAACGAACGTGTAATTCAACCGATTTGCACAAGTCACACGCTTCATTTATATTCGACGATCACCGGTCACGTAAGAGACGAATCTAAAGTGCGCTTAACGATTTAATCCTCCTCACTTTCGATCGACTTTCAAATTAACGCGCGTGCATCTAATCTCGTCTCAGAGAGAAACGCCTTAACGGATTCGCGCACCGCACACGCGATTCGCGCACGTGCGAGACGTGAATAGAGAAAAGAATTCGGATAATTCAGGCCTCGATAGTTCTGTCAATATTCTCTCTCACAGCTGAACTAACGAAGCGACGAGAGCGCTGCGAGTCCAAGTGTGTCACTTTTAACCCTTTAAGGCGCATAATTCATGGAACATTCTTTTAACTTTTTTTTAATGAAATATTGTCAAAAACACTCTAAATAGCACATTTATAAGGTTTCAACTGTCCGATCTAAGTGGTTTCTATTGGTACCAGTGATACTTAAAATGTTAAACACGTAAGCGTGTAATCTGATTGAAGCTTTTTACAAGCCTTTTACAAGCACTGAGAGAAAGTTATTTTGTATTTGTAACTATAGTCACACATGGAAAAACTATAAGTTATGGTCATAAAAATCTTTTATTTTATTAGATTCTACTATAATGTTAGTGACAATAATCTTGTATGCATGTCACTACTACCATTTCACTACAAGAAATATGGTTGGAGTCAGCTATAACTCTAGTTAGATCAATCATTTTTTTTGTTTCAGTGCCTTTCTTGCGGTTTTGAATCGCGTCACTTGACACGTTTAAGAAATAATAAGTTGCAATTCAATACGTTTGAACGTGTTAAGTGACGTGACTTAAAACGAAAAGATTCAGCTGAAATAACGCACGTGGATTTACGGTGAAAGCGGAGTAGACAACAATCTAAATCACATTGGACGCTTTTGTCTCGTCATGTCAGTCGCCGCCGCGCAACTCTTTGAACGAATCTCTCACGTTAGCAACACGGAAACGCGGTGCAGCGCGCAATTGCATTTGACAAACGTTATCTGACGAGAGGCACGCGAGTGCACGAGGACCATTTGATCGACCTATTGCCGCATTGTTCACGCGGATACGACATTCCGCCTATCCCCACGCGTATCGCGGATGTCAACCGCGTTGGCGTAACGAAGGCAGGAATGCTTTGAGTGTCTGGGCCGCTTATTACGAGTGCGCACTCGCGTATCGCGGGCATAACGATAATTTAACGCGGATCACGACCCACGATGCGAGGCGACGTGGGCGATCCTATCGGGCCCGTCGCCCGTCTCGGCTCGTTTCATCCGGAAAATACCGCCAATTTCGAACGTGTCTTCGTTCCTCGCTCCCGGGAGAGTGAGTTTTGCTCCGACTTACGTAAGAGCTTCCTATTCTGCGATCCGCTTCGTGAAGATTCGCACAACAAGGGTCACAGTTCGCTGCGTGCCGCGAGATCTCGAGGGTGAATGCGCGGATGAGCGCGCGAAAGTCTCGAAGGAGGAATCCTAAGGGCCGGCATTCTCGCATCGCCGCGATCGGAGCTTATCGGAAATCCGCGCGGATCGAACGTCGGGATTAATTAAGGCGCGTTCTTTTTTCTTCAGCTACGTTCTCTGCACTCGCGCACCTTCCTCCTCTGCGCGCGCGACGAAAGTGGATATGCACGCGTGGGACTTTGAATGGCTGTAAACGCTCAGAAAGACATGGCTGAAGAAAGCAAGCACACGCAGCGCGTTCTTTTGCGAGTTGGTCGCGGTCACCAGCGTTTTAATTCGCGCTGAGAGAAAGTGAATCGAGATGATGTCATCCACGCGAGGCGAAATACTAATGTCAATATAGTTACACCGTTATAATGAATGTCGTTATCGACGCAGTCTGCGACGGTTTAATCGTGTTGTTGACGATTTCAGCTTTCTTCGTTGTGTGCTACATGCGAGTGATTAATCGTGCATTATCGATGCCGACGCTATATTATTGCCCTACGGAAATATATACATCTTTGTACATCCAGACATTTCTCTTTCGCTACTATACTATAAACTATCTGTTATCTCAAAAAAACATTGAAGGAATGTTTTTGTCTAACCTACACGAGGAGAATTTTATAGTGAAAATTGCTGTAGAATTTTGTAGCCGAGGAATAGAATGAAATTTTGCAGTAACTATCCCTTCATTTCATGCGCCACTCATATTTTAAAAATTACGCTATTGAAAAATTTCTAATAAATTTACTTCCCAACAAGATAAAACTTACTGACAATGAAACAAAAAATTTATACACAAAAAACTATCATTTTTTTGTAAAAGAGAGAATTTCTATTTAATCTTTTTACTTAATATTTTTTTGTTTGTAGTATTTACTTTTAATATTTTTTAAATTATAGTGGAATATTTCATGGAATTGAAAGATGCGCCTTTATAATTTAAAGAAAACACAGGTTTTTTTCTTTTTCAAGATTTTTTCGATGATTACGACCTGTTTAAATCGCTTGGGAACTTACCTGGAGGCAGCCGCAGAACGATTTCTTCACTCGTGATGGCATAGTCTGGCAGCGGCCGACAAATTCCTTCAGAGGCTGTGAACTTTTCACGGAACAGCTCGGGATCCTCTGTAAATTACAGAATCAACCAATTAGTATCTTCTAGTATCGGAGCGCAACGGATATGAAGCAAAATATCGGCAAAAAAATTGAAGATACTCATATGTGAGAACGCGAGAAGATTTATTGCTATTGCATAAAACATGTATGTTGATAATGCTTCATTAAAATTCAATCTAGGGCAATGTAGCAAGAAACACTCAACGCTGCACGTAGCGAGTGCGAGTGTCGCGTACGTGTGACGGAAGCGATTTAGAAAGACATAAATCTCAGAGTTTCCCTTCGAAAAAAGACTCTGCGTACCTTCGTAATATGAAATATTAGAGCGTCATTAGAAAACGGGAGTAAGCGGTTACGCGAGCACAATAGTAACGTAGCGCATCGCGCGTCATTCTCGCAATATTCGTCTTCCGTTACAAGCAAGCGGAACGTTCTGCTCAACGTCGCTACACAGTTATAATACGAGCTTATATGTGACGCTTACGGATCACGAGACCAATTTTACGATGAACTACGTAAACTGAAGAAGCGAATTTGATCCGGTGCTCTGTGCGGAAAACAACCGGACGCAATCTGAGAAGAATACGTCTCTGAATATTTCCATACACAATAATGCACAAATAGAGTGACCTGTCCAATAAGTGAACATTTAAGGCCTGTAAATAAACAGTTAAGGGGATGCCACATATATATATTTGAAAACTTTATCGATACTGACTTTTCTCTGCAAAGTTTATGTCATATATTGGTTGCACAAAATTACAAGTGCTTTTACACACTGAAAGTACGTAATAATGAGTTGAAATATTATTCAATGTGTGACATAAATGAAGAAAATTCTTAAATTAACATCTTGACTTGTCAGTCGGCGTAAATATTTACTTGATACAAAATTTCTGCAGCTTATAGATACCACACATGTATTTGCTCCGCTAATTAACACTTCAAGAAATATCTTTGTATCTTTACAATTGAATTTTGGGAAACCCAAAATATACGAAGTCTGCAGAAAGATTTGCACATATACGTGGTTATAGTTTCCTGTGCTAGCATGGTGAAACAAGGCAGCACATATTTATATGAGACCTATGTGTAGGAGAAGTACCAAAAAAATGGTATGATAATTTAGTGATCAGTTCAGCATTCCCTCAAGCACACACACACACACACATACCAAACTCCAAAATTTAAACCGACTTAAGTCAGGTTAATCTTTCGCAACACATTCTTCTTGACGTAATCACGTAACCTGTGAGTTACTTCTATTTATACACTTGAGCCACAAAGCGCACCGCATGCCTTAACATTATAATAAATACTACAAACGATTCATTCACTGGATGATATTCGATTATTGGACAAGTCGCTCTACGTTTCTCGAGGTATCAAGCTGCATAATGTAACTATATCATGAATAAATATGATTACAGTGATACCACGCGACTTAATTACCGCGGAACAGGATTGTGACGTTATTACCAACGCGATTTTATTCCTCGTGATTCGAGTGAGGTCGAGTTCAAGGACAACGCGATTCAATTATGTCGTTATCATGTCATTATAACTGTTGTAATTCCGCGTCACATGCTTCAATGATTACACAATAACGACGGGGCGACATCTTCGATGATTTTGAAGTGACAACAATAATGAGTCAAGGACTCATTATGTTCTCTCATTTACGCGACGATCCTAATTACTGCAGCGGACTTTGCTTATATGCTTATTGTCGATAAGGTGACTACGTCACAGTACAGCGAAGAAAATCTGCGTGATTCGCAGCACTGCGTCGAATGCGACGGATACAACCGTTCCAGGATCTCGGTTCGCAAAATTCCTTCGCGCTTTGATCACCTACGTGAAAGAGACGCCACCTCGCGGTTTCGGGCTCCGCAGGGCAGGGCACGATATCCTGATCCTGGCCACCGGAGGACATGTTGATATCGCGTTCAGAGATTACCTCTCTTCCTTCGTTTTTTTCCTCTTCTCGCTTCCCCTCTCTTTCTGCTTTCCTTTTTCTTTCTTTTTACGGCACGAACTCGGGTGAAAGAGGCGCCCGGGGCGCCGACGCGATCCCGATCGTAATCGTTCTTACGATTAACCGCGATTTTCACTTTTGCACGTCGCCCGAAGAAGAAGCCGCTTCGCTCACACGCACGTTGCCAGGTAAGAACTCAAGAGCTCGCGCCGTCAACGCGACCCGGTTGCGTTGTCGGCCACGAGACTGCCTTATCTCGCACGCTGAAATCCTTATCGCGCCGGAAAAAACATAACAACGCCAATTATCGTGCGCCAGTCATCGGCAACTATGCATACTTATCGCCGCTGCGTCCTCGGCGCAATCAGCTGATCAGCGTCAGTCGCTTGTTAAATAGGCAGTAGTCTTTTTTGGAGACGCGTTGCGCTTCCATGATAAGGAACGTACTTTCAAGAATGGTCGCCCTTGTATAATATCTTGTTTGTTTCCGACGACACGCGACGTGTCGTGCGCACGGGAGAAAATCAGCTTTTTCCGATCAGGAGAGAAAAGAAAGAGAATTTCACGGTTGATCGAGACTTGAAGCGATCGTCAGACCTCATGACAAACAGAATACGAAAGAGACGCTCCGTATAATTCTTCCTCGTTTTTTGTCGGCACGGATGTTCTCGCATGCATGCGCATGCATTCGTTGAGAGGCAATAAATATGAATAAGAAATGGACGCTGAAATGCAGAATTTCAAGTAGCCTCCCAGGAGATGTCTACGCACTTCGTGACGCAATCGCCGCGAGGTGAGAAAATCACGCTTTGAAATATCCGATTGGAACGCGGGACTATCAATGTCGGAATGCAACGTCTCGTTCGCCTCGTTCTTATTTTCTCTTTCTTTTTTCCTGCGTATCCTCCTCCTCTTCTTCCTTCTCTCGTGTCTTCACTGCGATCGATTCGCGACATCAGAGTTTCGCGGAATAACTGCCGATCGGGTACTCCACGATGCGTGCGGCCACGGCGTGTATCGCTTTTTCTCTCTCCTCTTTCCGCCGAAGAAGCCGTTTCTGCCCGCGTATAATTGCAACCTTTCGCGAGCCGTTATATCGCCGCGCGTGTAACAAGAATGTCGAACGCATCGGGCCGCTGTACGTGATCGTGTAAACGTGACACGCCACCTCACCGTTCTACGACATGCTTTTCGAGACGCATAATTCCAGGTGAGAACGAGCGTGTCAGCGTGTCCTCGCTGGCACGTCGTGACGCAGACAGCAAACATGACCGCGTTGAATCGCTCATTTTGGCACAGGTCTCTTCTTTCTCCCTTTTCTCCCTCGTCGTGATGCTCGCGACTCAATTTTGTAATTGAATTGAAAATACACGCGCGAAACGCCTAAAAAACATAATATTATTCTTAGTGAAATCTTCTCATGTACCTCAAGAAAATTCTCCGCTAAAACTAAGAGGAAAATATTCTAACACTCAGAAAGAATTCCAGTTGCAAGATGCTAATTCCTATAATCCTCTATTCAAAGCAAAAACTTTTATCGAGAGAGAGTTTGCTCCTTTTCATGAAGTGACCTGTTAAACGGAAACCTGCTAGATGTACTAAATATAAGTGTAATAATCTACTAAGTGGATATTAATGATATCTATTTACTTGATAAAAATTTTACCACTAGATATACCAGATTTATCAATCGGAGATTTATTAGATAACATAGTACTAGATACGAGAACTTTTCTTTTTTCGAATCAAGAGGATATACATTAGTAGTAGTACTACTAATTAGTATTAGATTAATTAATATTAGTATTAAATGTAGTGCTTAGAATATTTTCTTTTTTGTATTGAAACAGAAATATTTGAACATTTATTTACGGAGTATAAAATTTACTTCTGTGAACAAATTTCATATCCTATAAATAAATTTTTAGGTTTTTTATTTTCAGATATTTTTTCTTGGTATGATCTTTGAAGAATCGTCTTGAGGTTACAAGAGGATCCCGCTAAAGATAAGGTTGTATTTTTTGGGCTATTTTCTGTTACCATCGCAAACGCAAGTTTGCTACAAGTAAGGAATTGCGCTGTGTGCAAAATGAGTAACTTTGAAGTCTGACGCACGCCGTCACCGTCGCGTTCATTCGCCGGAAGAGCGGGTGCGCCGCGACGACGATTCACGGACTCGTAAACACACTTTCCACGGCTTCGTGGTCTAATCCATCTAACCTGCTGAAGTTACTTCCTCGTAGAAAAATATAGGGATACCACGGATGGGTCGCACACTGCGGCTTTCTCGCGACAGTTTCCAGTTGTCGCGGCGAAGTGAAAATGCGAATACACGATGTTGAGTACGAAACACGCGATAACGCATACTGGTGACATCACTTTGACGGCGGTTTCATCGACATGGATTGCATGAATCCTCGTTGGATAATATCAGGAAGCGCGTAGCTCGCGCGATGTTCTCTACTTCTTTATTTTGTGAGAGAAAAAAAAGAGAGAAATAAGACGTTGTTTATTTGCAATCTGGAACTAAGTTACCATAAGCGCCAATAATAATAATTACAACATCATTTTAATAGTACAGAAACAGAAAAACGTTCGCAGTAAAAAAAGAAAAGAAATAAAAAGTAAATACAGAATTTATTATTCCATTTAAACAATTTATGCAGCACTACCATATTGCTGCTGAAATAGATATCGAAAGTTTTTAAACTTATTAAGTCCGCCTTTCTGATTTCAAGAGAAGTTTGATTCCAGCAATCAATGGCAGAGAACATCTGTTCGATTTTTTAAATAATTTAATCCTACATAAATTTTTTAAATAATTTTATCCTACATAAAGGAATACTCAAATTAAGAAGTTATCTCTATATGCAGTATCATTTCTAAACTTAAATTCCAAGTAGAAAGAGAGAAAGAGAGAGAGAGAGAGAGAGAGCACAAGTCGACATGCGAGCGCTCTTGAGAGAATCGCGCCGCGCGATCGTTCAATTAGCTAAACGCCAGATTAGCGCGAGCGTTTAGATCTAACCGAGATGCATCATTACGACTGCTATTACCTACTCGCGGCGATGACACACCTCGAAGACCTCGTTATAGGAATAATGTGCGCGGCGGCTCTCACGGATGTTACGTTACATACGCATGCCGCGGAAGGCAATTAAACAATGCATCCGGGAGTAATAAACCCATTACACCGCCGTGATATAATTACATGCTGTAACTATCGCGTCCCACGCGGCGCGTGCGGCCGATCTGATCGCGCGCGGAGATCGTTTAATGGCGCGTGCATCGTTCGTTTATTCGTTCGGACCGAACGATCGCGGTCGCGTGTACGTGATGATTAATTTGTGGCTCCCTCGTGAACGCCGGCGATTCGAAAGTCGCTTGCGCGCGCTGCGAGCTTTTGTTCCTCGGCTTATTAATTTGCGCTGCGAAATTTCGCGAGGATCCCTTCGCCCGCGGCGCGAGAAATCAGCCGAGCCAATCGCAAACGCGCGAGGTATCCTCGCGAAGCGAGTTCTCTTGATGAGGAGTCGAAAGTCACGTCTCAGACTCGCTACTGAACATATTAAATATGCATGTATTAATGAAAAATGTTTATGCTTACCACTAAAGAGGGTTTGAATTAGTACGAACTAGAAAAATATAAGACGTTTAAACATAAATAAATATGTGACTTTAATTTTAAAATAGTTGCGTCTGTAAATAATTTCGTTATACTATCACAGCTATATAGTCTCCTATAGGTCTTTACATTTCTATGATTTGATATCAGTAGAGTCTTGTTTTTTCAAGATTTTCTATTATTAAAAGACCTGACTGCTAAATATACAACCTAAAAGCATACACGCAAAAAATGATTTAGTAATATCAGCTAAACCGCGGTAGCTGATTCAAACTTAGTCAAAAGGCTAATCGTTTAGCTGTTACTGTTAAGAATTGGCTGTGACAGCTGAGATGCATTCGCTATGAAATACAAATATATTAGGTGACATTAAAAATGCACATTATTTCAAATAGCTAAGAAAATGGCAGTTATTTCTAAATTTCTTATCGTATGCATATATTAAAGAAGTTTGCAGCTACAATCATTTATTTTTAGCAGCTAATATTTCTCGCCTAAGTTCAACAGCGCACACTGAGAGAAAAGACTGGTAACTATAACAAACTGCATTTAGTTACAGAAATTCATTGAATACTTAGTAACGAATACTAAATATGATAATAATTACCAAATATTTAATAGATCGGGAGTATGACGTAATTGCATTCACAGTAACATCAATTAAATAATTTAGTAATAGTTACTTAATGTTAAATATTTAATATGAAATATATTACAGTTATGAACAGATATTTGATAATTGTTATAAAATTGTTATATCTCATGTAATAAAAAATTCAGTAAGTACGAGTTCTATTTTGTTACCAGTATAAGTATGTTTTGTTGCAGCACAACGAAAAATTCATTCATTTGCAGCTATTACATCGTTTCAATATCTATTATTACAGATGGTTGGTTGAACCTATCAAAAATTTTGTAACTACTACAAAATCGCTTATTTTGCTCAACTATTCAATAAGTTTTATTTACCAAATATATTCTGGAAGCAAATAAATTTTACTTCTGTCAAATAAATAATTTATTTTACAGAACTAAATTAATTAATAAGTATTGCCATAGCTTTGGCCCGCTATATTTACGTCTACCATTTAGTAATAGTAACCAAATTTTGATAATATTTACTAAATTCTTCTCTCAGTGTATAAATTTTGCTTCAGTAGTATCGACATTAACTGTCCCTATTTCAGTGACACATCTTATCTGGAATAGCTATTTTTAGCTCTGGAAACTAGTCCTTTTTTTGCGTGTAATCTTTAACGGGATCTTTTTATGGCCTCAGG